CAATGGGGGGTGGTGAATAGCTACTGACATCTTTACATTTTTCAACTCCACTACAGAGAAATGTACAAGGGAGCCCCTAGCCCCCCCCCACAGTGATAAAGTTTAAGTACGCAATACGTGTGATCCCCTGTAAGATTAGGGGACCGATTGCTCCCATGTGGATTGAAAAAATTATCTGTGTAGGGGGCAGGACTAGGATCAATTTTAATCACAGTTACACTGCACCAGAAAAATGTTGCCCAAGTCTGACAAATCTCAGATTAACCCTGGTGAAAATTCCTTCAGCAATGTGCTGGAGAAACTCCAGAACAGCTCTGGTTTCCCTCTATGCAGATCTTTCATGTAGCTCCGTCTTTCTCAGATAGCGTGGTTGCCATTGCTTGCCAAGTCTCACAATGAAAGTGCTGAAAATCCACACTAATCCACTATTTAGTGCTAGCAGCAACATGGAAAGTAATTTCTATGATGCAGTGGAAATACTGGCACTGGTGTGCTATTGTATAGCCCAGAGGCTTCAAGCCAGAAGATTGTGTGCTCCTGCGGACCTCTCACTCTAAATCTAACTAGATTGTAAAATCATCATTTTCAAAGAGCAGATCTGCCGTGCTGTGATCAGTGTATGGTGGATTTGTTGACCTGCGGGTTATCATTAATAGCAGCATTATTGAAAAATTGCTTACAAACATGCTGTTGGATTGTGTGCCTATAAATTAATGTCCTCGTTGAGAAAATGGAAGCCCCAACTAAGAAAGGTTGAAAAGCCCTGGTCGGCCTTGTGAAAGTGAGCAGGACGATGGTACGTGCTAATGTACGTGCTGGGATTTTCACACCCCCAGTCAGTTTGGGTCATTCTGCCTATCTCTTGCATTCTCAGCTCTAAGTACCAACATACTGTAAGTACTGGATCTTCATGCTGCCCTGGATTGGTAGTTAATACTTTTTTAGAGTTGCTGAAACCAATAATTCAGATAAATGGGCAGTCAGTAAACTGAATAGATATATAATGTACAATACCCTCCAGATTTATTTATCCTCCTGGTGAAATAGAACAAAAAAAACATTATATAACAACAATATTTACTAGCTGGATAGCGTATCCAGCTGACAGAGAAATTTAAAAAATGCTACATTGTAACATACTTTTGTGGGTTTCATCCGCCAACATGGTCAATGACCATTTACATGCAGTCTTCAGAGAGCTGACTTTAACCATGATGATGTTGATGGTACCGAATGCCTTTTATGTGTTACCTCCTCTTATACTCTTAGACATCTCTGAAGTCCCATTGCACTTCTAAACAGCAGAATGATATTGTAGGTTTATTTTTGTCAACTTTTCTTCAACGGAAATAAATGTGACCATAGTGTTTTCTAGATTTCTCGTTTTCTACAGTTATTTATGACAAATCTGAATTTGCTCCAGCACGGTGGTGCAGGGGTTAGGATTGCTGCGTTGCAGTGCTGGGGCACTGGGTTCGATTCTATCTGTGTGGAGTTTGCATGTTCTCCCCGTGTTCGTGTGGGTTACCTCCAGTTGCTCTGGTTTCCTCTTGCAGTCCAAAGACATGCTGGTACAATAGGTTAATTGGCTTCTGAGAAAATTGGCCTTGGTATGAATGTGTGCCCTGAAATGGACTGGTGTCCCGTCCAGCGTGTACCCCACCTTGCGGCTGTTGCCCGCCATAGGCTCTGGCTCCCCCTGCGACCCAGTCTTTGATATAGTCGTCAGAAAATGGGTGGATGGGTGGATGACTATATGGTACAGTATATATATGGTACCATACTATATGGTACAGTACATCAGGTTATTTGTTCCTAATTTAAGGGTATGAATAAATCTGGAGGGAGCCACATACTGTAGTTTAAAACCATCTTTATTCTTACACTTAATACATTGGTGAACAGCATTTGCAGAAGTGAAGGGTTGCCCATACTTTACTGAGAATGTACCTGTGATTGGGCTAGGAGAAGGGCTTGCACCAAACTTTCACACACCAGGCTAATCAAAGAACATTGTGCCTACAGATGCAACCCATTACAGGAATGTTGTGGCAACGCAAATTGATCAAAGACAAAAGATCAAAGGCACAAATTGAGATTACCCAGTAGAAAGCAAGAAAAAATCAGGTGTTTGGCTGTGGAGTGTTTTCTGGTGAGAAGGAGTGAGAGAAGGGGTGCAGGGCTATGCAGCAAAGGAAAATGAAAGAAAGAGCAGGTGAGAAGGACCTCCAAACGAAGGGAGATCTGGGGTGGAGCTGTGAAAAACTGAAATCTGTAACTGAATGGAGAGCTTCACAAAGTAAAGTCACTTGGGCTTCCGGTGTCCTTGTGGAATAAGAGTCCTGGATTCCCTGAGAGAGAGAATGCTGACAGAAAGGTCAGTGTGATGATGGGCAGGAGAAGTGAGATGGGGGACTGCTGTCCTGGAGAGCTCTTTGATCCCCACCACTCTGATGCGTTTCCTGAAATGGTCATCCTCAATGCTAATGGAAATCAATGTAATGAACTACATTGGTCTGTGGGCGATCATGAAATGACCAAAAACACCATGTGCTATATATGCTTGCTGCTGACTCTACAATGTATCTGCATGGATTTTATATTGGTTATACATTTGCAGATATATTTGTATTGTGAAAACATTGTTTACAATATAAATACGACGTGAACACAATGCTTCTGTAATGTTCACTTGTCAGTTTGGGAGTCCCGGGGCAAGCTTCTTTACTAAGGTGTGTAAAAAAACCTGTAGTTACATTAAATCATATAAGTATGTCAACCATGGCTCTAACATTGTGTCTATAGCTGTTACAGCTATAGATAGCTGACAAACCCAAACTGCACCATTCCAGGGACACTGTAAACAGTTTGCTCAAATATAACATAACCGTACCACAATCTTCCAGCCTCATTTGGACATGCTGTAACATTTAGTGGCAGCTGGGACAGTAACAGTACAGAGAGGAGGCAAATGACTGAGGTGTACTGATAACCTGATGCCCAATCAATTTATCATATTCTGATCCCGATGTAAGTGGAGAGGTATTTTTCCACATTACTACTGTGATAACAGTCAGACGCTGGAGGCCACATTGTATGGTATTAACGTGCTCTCTCCCACTGACCTGTATTCCCCTGGGAATATCGCAGCATAGAAAATCTCATTTCCTACAGACACCTGCCCTGACGCCCCCCTCCCCCAATCTCTGCATTCATCTCCTAGGCTATTGCCTGGAACACGAAAGTTGACAGCTTCCACTTACCGACTCTGAGCGGGGCCAGTGCAGTGTGACCTGATTGTACCATCTGAAGAGAGAGAGGGGGAGCTAGAGAGAAAAAAACACAGAGAGAGACACAGGGCAAGAGAGAGTGATGGGAGGAGAAACAGGGAGGATAATGGAAAGAGGGGAGATGATGAACAAAAAGTGCTTTTTTGCCTTGCTCTACCAGTATTCCCTGCTGTTTTCCCAGGCTCCAACATCACTACCCTAGACTGTGGTACTGCCAATTCTTTACCATAGTAAAAAAAATGAAGGTGTAATCATGATGTGTCACAGTGTTACAACAATCTAGCACAGTACCAGAGCAAAACGTGGTGACTGTAAGAGGCAGAGCAATCCCTGGTTCAAGTACTAATTTCCTATACAGGTTTACTAGGGCACAGCCTGGAAGAACAGCCCTGCAGAGCTCAGACGTGGACATTCTCACAGGTCCATGGTGTTTTGGGAAACACACGCTTATTGTTTCTTCGCTGACAGGTAATGAGCCTGCCTGGCAAACTCCCAGTGACCCCAAGAGAGAGGGAGAGGGCAGGGTGTGCCTCTCAGTGGAAACCACCAGCACGATGACACGCAGGCCTCACTCAGAATCTACCGGGACAGAAGGAAAAAGCATTAGCAAACATTAGTCCTTCCAGTTTGAGCCACAGAATGGAACAAGTTGGAAAGTACCACATCCTGCCAAGGCGGAAATTTTGTCCTCGGAGGGTCTGAGCCGCCACCCCTCCTCTTTGTAAACCCGATGGCAGTCTCAGTTGACCACAGGAAAAGCCGCCATTGACCGTTGATCCTGGATCCTGCCGGGGTGGGAGCGTTGGACATCAACTACAGAGTCCTGTGCTTCTAAAATGACGTATTCTAGAGACATTATCTACACATGCTTGTGTTTCATGAAGACCTCATGAGAGAGGGGGATACAGCATTCCATAATTTAAAGAAGGTGTGCTTCCCAGGAAAGTTTAGTCAATTATTTGTTTTATACCACATCAGATGACAATGCCTGAATGGGTTAAGTACCCAGCCATTAGAAAGAGCTGAGATCTGGCACTGGCACTGTCTCTGCCCCGGGAAGCAGGGGCAGTGCCAACAAGGGTGAGATGCCAATGTCTAAGTGTCTCCATCTCGTTTTCTCGTTTCTCTCGCTTCGCGGTTAATTGGCTTAAGGGGGATAAATCATTTGCAGCTCCGGCTGTCATTCCCATCGCCTCTTCCTATCCTAATCCCCTAATCTGTTAAATCCCCTTCTCTGCTGCCGCGCCAACCTGCATGCACCAGGCCTGCTCGAACCCCTGTGCTGCCTGCCTGTGTCCTGGTTCTCTTGTTGTGTTGCAGTGGCTGGGGGAATGTTGAATCAGTGGGGCAGACAAGAAGGCATGACCAGGGATGATAGGGTGTTTCTTTGCCTTTTGGCTCTGGAATCTTTTGAGCTGATGCAGCTGGATTTAATCTGTCTGGCGTAAATCTCCGTTAGCATGACCCCTAAGCACATGTGAACACTCAGATAGACACACTGCCACTAGGGCATGAACAGTTACATACAGAATTACACAGTGCAGTAAACACATTAGATGGGCAGTTTGCCAACCTCTTGTGTACAGTCGGAAATCAGTCCCACAGTGCATTTGTCTGTTTTGTTTGTATATCTAGGTGAAAGTGGGTTTGCCTTTCTGTCTGTCCAGCCCAAACCCTGAGATGACCCCTGTGACCCTATATCATTCCCAGGGTGACCTGCAGCAGCTGTGCTACCTGCTGGAGCGCTATGTGCTGGCTGGGATCCGGGAGCATGGACACTTCCTGTATCGGAGTGTTGTGAAGGACCGTGCTGCTCGCTTGCACGTCATCTGGCTCCGCCTGCTATACACGAACATGCCTCCGCAGGTAACCAAGGCTGCACTCCTCATCGCACTCACTGCACTCACTGTCTGACAGACTGACTGACTGCACTGCCCATCACACTCACTGACAGACTGCACTGCCCATCACACTCACTGACTGACAGACTGACAGACTGCACTGCCCATCACACACACTGACTGACTGACTGACAGACTGCACTGCCCATGACACTCACTGACTGA